GTGCTTTCCTGTGCAGCGACCTCCCCTCGCTGCAGGGCTGTGGGGTGAGCGTGTGTACGGCTGTCTGAGCGGGCCTCTCTCTCTCAGCCCTCGCTGCAGCCCTCGGTAAGAGCCATCAAACCTTTGGGTCCACCTACCCAGCAGCCTGGCTTGGCTGCTAGCCAAGAAGCCGATGCCCAAAAGAAGTTGTGAGAGCAAAATAAGCTACTGATGTCATTCTGCATAAACCATTGCTAGCACATCCCTTGTGTTTAATAGCCTTGAATGAATTTTCACTGATGGAAGAAGGATCTAGTTCCTTCTTGAAGCGCTGTGAATTTTTAGCATCCATAATGTCTGATGGAAAAGCGTTGCAGAGGTTAATGATAGGTTAACGGGCTGTAGAGATCAACCTCCTTTGGTTTGTTTGAAACCACTGCCTGCTGGCTTCATGCAAGTCTTCCCGTTGTCCTACCGGAAAAGAAAGTGAAAAGGGATTGTCCTGCAAGTCCTCGTCTGTAGGGTTTGCTATATTGTCTCTCCTCGTTTCAGCCACCCGCACATACTGGTCTCTTTTCTAGCTTCTGCATCTATGGAACTGATGAATATTCCTGATCATCGGTGTTGCCCTTATTTGTACATATTCCTACTATATCCCTTTTCAGTTGGAGGGACAAGCGTGACATATAATATTCGAGATGCAAATAAGGCATGCATTTATACAATGACATAATGATCCTTAGTTTTCTGTTGCTTTCCTAATACATCCTGTTATCGCTTTTACTTCCTTGACTGCTTCTTGAGCCTTGGGCAGATGTTTTCACGGGTTACCCTCAGATAATCCTGAGATCTTGTTTCTGAGCGATAACGTTATCAGCTCAGAGAATGTCATTGTGTATGGAAAGTCAGGATTGGGTTTTTTTTTTCCCCTTTGTTTTGCCACGTGTGTTGCTTTACATTTACCTACTGTGAATTTCACCTTTACACCTCAGTTGCTCTGTATCAGGAGGTCCTTCAGCAACCCCTCCCATAAGCCCTATCTTTACTACCTCGGGGCAATTTAGTATTGCTAACAAACTCCTTAAAGCACCGCTGGAATATAGCATATGCCTGCAAGAGGGACAGCATTCCTTGGAAACTCTGGTCGGTCTTATTGCATGCGTGCTTTGCAGCGCTTATATCTGCTTCCAGCTCCTAATGGCTTTGGAGAGAGACTACGAAAGAAGGAGGCTTGGAGTACTCTGCTGCCATAAGAGCAATGCCAGTGCAATAGGATTTCATTCATCCTCTTCAGAGCTTCTTGGATAAGCACAGGCAACGGGCCAGGTGAATTGTCACAGGTGCATATGCCTGCCACCCCTGCAGTAAGACACTGGCTACCAGCCCAACTTGTAATACAGGCATCAGTTAATCTTCTTGCACAAACACAGTGCGCACAAACAGTTGTAGACTCATTTCTTAATTGCACAGGAACTGCGTACTCCCATCACAAGATGGAGGAGAGTGTTTGTATCGCGAGGTGGAACACAGCAATCCGCTTCGTGAATCCGCTCCATGGACTGGGGATCAAAACCAGAGTTGAATCAGCCATTTCTTCTAAGGTGCCTAAGTAAAGTGAAGTCTGATCAGGGATTACTAAAAAAAGCCTTTATAGCCTTGTCAGACTATAAATAAAATAGAATAATTTTGTGTTCTCGTGAACATTGAAGATGCCTCTCTCCAGTGAAGCTCACGCTGGTTCAGTGTATTTAAACAGAACAACAACAAACCCAATAGCAAGCATGCCAACAGCCTGAGTGACTCTATCTTCTTTCCCAATCAGCATTCCCTTTCTATTATTTGATTCCTTTGTCCCACCCTCCTTATGGATTATTATTGTACAGCTCTTGACTTACATGAGCAGTTCATTAAGGCCAGGACTTTAATTATATTTTGCGCAATACGGTAGTATGAATAAATTAGAATAGATAAGATTCTAGAGAGTTTTTGCAAGAGTCAGGTGTATGCCTTGGTGTCTTTGGCAACAGAACCCCTGTCCTGACACTCTGTCACCATCCTCCCTCACCTGGGGACGTCAGTGGAAAGGGTTATTTAAACGACGTAATCCAGAGCAAAAGGCAGGAGGTGATGTGTGCCTGTGTCGGTATGTGCGGCCTCTGCCACGCCAGGGCCTCCTGCAGCCGGGAAGGCACAAGTAGAATAGGAGCTGCCAGTTTCTTTAGCAGCTGGAAGTGGCACTTGGGCAGGAAGAAAGTAAAGAATGAGGTGAAGGGCAGAAACTGGAGTCTTTGGGCCATGGACTTGATACTCATTTTGCAAAGGGTTGTTTTGGATGAAGGCATCACTGTGCCCACATTTGCTGTCAGAAAAGGTTGAAGGAATGCTAATCTACTTTGAGCTGGGTTAGCTTAAATGGGTCATAAAGGTGGCACGAGCTAACTTTGATGACTTTGCCTGATGTTGTAAAAAGCAGATGTAAGTGATAATGTCTTCACTACACTCATCTAGATCTTAAAGAGGACAGCTAGACAAGGGTTTGTCTCAGGCACAAGTCTCTTGCCTAAGTGTCCTGACCCAAGGGGAAGGGGTCAATGTGAAACCATAGGATTTTTATTTCCAGAGTCTCTGTTTGCTTCCCCTGAAAAGGAGGCTCTGTAGGAGGGACTGGACTATGGATGCGTGTGTGTGGATCCACAACATCTTGGGAGGGTGTTAAGCTTTGTCCTCATCCCTTGTCTTTTTTTAGAGAGAGGAGAAGCAGCTGGAGCTGACCCTGGAGGCGCTCATCAGTCAGGTGGCCGACCTGAAGAACTCCTTGGTCAGTTTTATCTACAAGCTGGAGAACGAGTATGACCGACTCACATGGTAAGGTGTCTCACAGAGCTGGGGGCACTGTCGATCACTGCTGAAGCTGTTCCAGACGCGGCTCAAAGGACGACAAAGTATAATTAAAAGCCATTAGCCTGTTGTCAGTAGATTTAAATTTGCTTTTCACATTTCTGCTTCAGGAACCACTACACGCCTTCCACCAGAAAAGCACTTGAAATCCATTGGTTTCATGCTGTATAGTAACAGAGTCATGCTAACACCTTTTAATCTAGATGCTTTATGAGAACTAGACTTGCATCTGCAGTGACTGGAAGCTTCTCAGACAAAGTATCTTAGAGACCCACATACGCTATAAAATGAGCAATGGTTCTGCATTTCTTGACCTTTCTGGCTTTTTCTGGCTATGGTATAAACTGAGCTCTTGTGTTTTGCTGGTTCTGCATGTTTTTACCAGACAGTCTGAGAGACTTGCAAGGTGGCATTGTCTTCCTGATGGAGCATAAAGATGTTATAGCTACAGCTTAATAAACTATACGGTATCTTAGACAGTGTCTACCACTGCAGCAAAGCTTCACAGGCAGTTAGCGTTTATAGTTAATGTTGCAGAAGGCAGGAGAGGTGATGAATCCCCCAGAGAGAGCAAGCTGAAGGGGACCTCCTAGACAAGATTATCAGTTATTTTGCTTCATTATTGCTTAGTCTGGACAGCCAAGCTATAAATATTGTCTCTCCTGGCTGTTTCTCAGGCCTTGCTCTAGAATTGCACTGGGAAAGCTAGTGATAAGGAGAGCGTTGCTTCTGTGTATGTGACTGAGATCCCAAACAACTGCCACTTCCAGTGGTACTGCTTGTAATGTCCCTGGGCTATTTGCAGCAGGGACTGGGATTTGTCCACACCTGCACATTCAGCCCTCGGTTTTACTGCTTGCTGTCTGGAGTAGACTGATTTGAGGAGTAATAGTGTTATTTCCTCACTTCTCAGCCATTTGAGTGAAGAAGAGATACAGGCCATCTGTGACATCCTTTTCCATGT